CCTGCTTTATATACCAACAAGCTAACATGACCGGGCAGAAAAAAACCTGCGAATACAAGTTCCACACAGAGTTTCAATCGCATGAGCCGGAATTTGACTATCTAAAATCGCTAGAGATCGAAGAGAAGATCAACAAGATAAAGTGGTGTAGACGACAGAATGCATCCCACTTCCTGCTTTCGACTAATGATAAAACGATAAAGTTATGGAAGGTCTTTGACAAGTCGCTCAAGGTAGTCGCCGAGAACAATCTGTCGCATGATTTGACGCCCGCAAATGCCGTTGGCGGCGGAGGAGGGTTGCCGCGGGCGCCCCGGATCCCTCTGAAGGATGCGTCGGCGTTGAAGCTGCCCAGGATGACCCACCATGATACCGTCGTGGCCGCCGTGCCTCGACGAACCTATGCGAATGCGCACGCCTACCACATCAATAGCATATCCGTCAACAGTGATGGCGAGACGTTCATCAGCAGTGATGATCTCCGCGTCAACCTGTGGAACCTCAACATCCAAGACCAGAGCTTCAACATCGTCGATATCAAGCCCGCCAACATGGAGGAGCTGACGGAGGTCATCACCGCCGCTGAATTCCACCCGACAAGCTGCAACTGGTTCATGTATGCCAGCTCCAAGGGCACCATCAAACTCGCCGACATGAGACAGCGGGCTCTGTGCGACGAGCATCAGAAGCGTATGTATTGATGGACCCGTAAACTTGCCGACTACTCTACTGACATACATGACCCTCACCCTGCAGTGTTTGAGCAAGAAGAAGATGCATCATCTCGTTCCTTCTTTTCCGAAATCATTTCGTCCATCTCCGACGTTCGCTTCTCCCACGACGGCCGCTACATCGTTTCTCGCGACTACCTGACCGTTAAGATCTGGGATGTCAACATGGAGCGACAGCCCGTCAAGACGATTCCTATCCACGAACACCTGCGACCGCGTTTATGCGACACATATGAGAACGACAGCATCTTCGATAAGTTTGAGGTGGTCTTCTCGGGCGACGCCGAGAACGTGATGACCGGCAGCTACAACAACAACTTCATGATTTATCCGACGGACTCCAGCAAGGAGACGGAGATCGTCCTGCAAGCAGACAAGTCTGCTTTCAAGGCGAAGAAGGTGGGCGTGCCCACGCCCATGAACAAGGGCAGCAAGAAGAACGGCTCGAGAGCAGGCAGCCCTGCCGGGCCCGGCAGCCGCATGAAGAAGGAAACCGACGCCGACCAGATCGATTTCAACAAGAAGATCCTGCATATGAGCTGGCATCCCTTCGAGGACAGCATTGCCATTGC